TTTTATCTCTTCATACGTGGCGAGACCAAAATTCTGACACTACTCATCTCAAATTAACTGCAATTAACTATCGCGCGTTGTTATTATATATTTTTTGCTGAATATGCAAGAATAGAGTTTTATATATATACATTATATATTCACACACATACATACATATATACACGCATTATATTACTCTATTTTTGTATATATATATATGTATATATATATATATATACCTAGGTATATAAATTCTTCAGATTCACGAAATAAAAATCAGCCAAGACAAGCCGCGCAAAATGATTATGACGTATATTACCAAATATAGTATATAAAAAGATGATAATCTTTAAAAAAAACTCGGCAATGCTTATGACACGTACTAAACTCGAAAAATAAGAAAGATAATCCCTAGCATAAGACTTTCCAAGTCTCGTCGGCAAAAATTAAGGATGAGAAGCTACTAGTATAGGTACCATCTGGTCTTGACGTCTCGTCAATGCACAGTAAGTGAGAAGGGGATAGGATAGGAAAAGGGATGGGTAGAAGCTTAACATTAGGTCTTCTCCGGCTCTGTTAGCAACGGCGATGCCAGAAAGAAGACGGAAATAGAGAGTGAGAAAGAGAGAGAGGAAGATCAACTGGCTTCTAAGTCAGGACATGCAGAGATTCTAGGAACGCACCAGCGAGATTTCCTACCTTTCCTTACAAGTGAAGCTGTCGTGTGATTTATATGAAAACGATTTCGCGTCTGACGGCACAGGTAATCGCACGATGATTGCCGCTTGTAATTGATTAGCGATTACCCGTGTCACTTAATCCCTCCATCTTCCCGCGAAAGTGATGGTCCGATTGTTGGCAACATTATCGATATCTCTCGGGCGATGCATCAATCAAAATCGAGACGAGAGTGCGGATGGACGATCCAAATAATGCTTCACTGATAAATCGTTTCCTCGTTTTCGAAAACAATGATTCGCGGTAATGCACTAGTTTCTACGTCATTTGTTACGATACCGTCGTCATAAACTTGCGTTATATTTTACGCAGTCTTATGTTTCATATAATCAAGTAAATAATGTATAATTTTATAACAATGGCAGTATTTCTAATTTTTTAAAATAATATTTGCAATAACATGCAATAGATTTTCACGGCATAAATAACTTAATAATGCATTAACGTCATCAAAATCATCTTTAAAAAACTTTTTAATTTTAAATAGTTCTAACATTCAGATATTTTTAAGAATTTGGGACATATATGTATCTTAGGAAATACAGTGTAATTTATCATTTGTAACTTATCGCATAATAAAAAAAAATTGGTATAAATTATTTCAAAACCTGCAGTTATTTCTAAAATATAACACCTACGAAAGAATCCACTGCGATCCGCAAACGACTTTAAAAACTGTTCCGTAAATACATTACACCGGCTTGTTCCTTTTGGAACATTTCCCGCGCGCATTTAGATGAAATACATCACACTTTCCATGATCGATGTGCATATATATGCCCGTAGTTATGCCGACGAACGGCGTTTCCTGGAAGCAATCTTCGTAGCCTGATTTTATATCGCGAGAAGTGCTCCAATACAGTTTCATGCAATCCCCGATACGTTCGACATTTTGAATCCATAGATGAACGCTGGCGCGATCGCGGCAACGTGTTACCGCGGAACAATGAAAGCGATTTACGGGCGCTATATCGCCGCAAGGTGCTGCAACGCGATAGAAGTATTGATATGGCAAGTGAAAAAGTATGAGCTGGCTTAGACATCTGCAATTTCGGGATCAAAGTGACGAGCATAGAAGCCCCTCGAGAGAGCTCCCGCTCTTATATGTGCGTGTTAAAAGGACTATCGACATACGATAGCCAATGCAAAGTTTTTGAAAGAAAAACCGATTATCGACATTTTAGGACGTTTCATTCGTTCTTGATATTCTTCTCAACGCATTATCCGATTTCAGATATATCTCTTCTCTGCAAACTTTTGTTACTTAAAATATTTTCGTTTTTTTTTCTTGACAACTGCACTTGCACTGTACGATCATCATTTTAATCACGAATATCAATGTCAATGAAAAATCGATGAAAAAAAATGCGTAAAAAGCCGAGCGAAATACATGTTTTATTTAATATTAATAATCATATTTTATCATAAAAGTTTTAATTATCGATCCATGGTATGATAAAGGAAAAGCACATATCTTTGCATAAAAATGAAAAATAACGAGCGAGGTAGCGCATTTTGTGCTGCGCTATCCCCTTAGAAGAAGTTCCCGACATTATCCCACTCATAATTTCGTAGGCAGCTTACACAAGCTTAACTCAACCCCTATCTCACCTCTGTCCACCCGCCAGCCGCCGCCACCCACGGTTCCTCCAGCACTTCCGAGCTTGCGAGCTCGCAAGCTGCCCCCTCATAAACTTAACATAAGGGTTAAGTCTTAGTAGTGCCCTCAGCTTTGCTCCTTTCCTTCCTTTTGTAGCCCATCCACCCCACGCTCCCTTACCTACATCAAAGGGTAAACTTTCAGCTTGTTATCTGAAACTGCTCAGACGCCCATGTGTAATTACCTCTTTGAATATTTTCTTTTTAAAGTCCGCCTGATTACGCGCCATCCCGAATCGTTTCGCGCTTCGCTTGCCAGGCGAAATTATCTTTCTAGTAAAAAAAAAGCATCTAGAATTAATTAAACTAGCACAATATTGTAATTAACTTTAATTCAATTTAGTTTATTTCACTATTTAGGCAATTGTATTTAGTCAAGAAATGCGAATTTTTTAGAGCATCTACGTGGATGTATAAAAAAATATCTTCCATTTATTCATTCAATTATAAGCTGAATTGAGAGAGTTCACGAGGTCATTGAGACAGCATCGCGAACGGAAACAGAAAGTCGCGATTATGCGCATTTAATTAACGTTAAAAGTAACGACCACTATAAATCCGTCTTGCAGTATTCCGTAGACAAAGAAGCGACCGGAAGGGCGCAAAGCTCGCACGTTTCTAAACCGAAAGTCGTGACACACAAGCCACTCAGCGAAATTGCCACGTGGCCGAGTTCCTCAACAAGGCGCGAAGAAACATGAGAATCCTCCAAAGGACTGCGTCATACCGCGAGAAGACTTTGATGCACGATCGCGGACCGCCAAAAGAACAAGGGTAAAGGTCAGAAGTGAAACATTATTTCTCTGCTGTCACAACAGAGGAGGATTTGCCGTTGGTATATGTATATATACATATATATTATTACGCGCTACACAATTGTGCAAAATTTCGTTCCAGCTAAACGAGATTTCAAATCCATTTATGTCCCTTGACACAATCGGGATGATATTTCAAACTGAACGTCTTTCTAACTCACTGTCAGTAATCGTAACTCTATCAAACTCGTATGATTTTAAATATGAAGATTTTAAATCTGAGTCTTAAAATTATTTGCTTAATCTACACAAAATCCATCGGTGAATACGCACGCGTGTAAAAAAAAAATTACACCTGTCAAAGCAGCAATTTCGACACGCGCGGCTTGAAAACAGCTTTTACAAATTTTAAATCCAATAAGGAAGCAGTATTAAAAACTCTGTATTGTGTGAGCGCGGTGGACGGGACGTTACGTTCATCATTGACTGTCAAGCGGTTTGTGCCGAGGGGATTTCATCGCCGCAATATTCCCGGGCGATCGTTAATTCGACAAATTATTCATCGTCGCGGAAATGAAACGCCGGGCCGAATCGACACAACTTCGCTAATAAGTTAACTAGCAATCGCTCAACCGCCTCTCGCGCCCGGTGAAGTTCTAATTGGATCACTTGTATCCGTCATCGTCGCCGACGAGCCCCGACGCCGCGCCGCGCCGGTGATCTTTGGCCCCGCCGCCGGCGCGGCGCGCGATCGGCAACGACATTTTGAGTGAATTTTCCGACTGAAGATGCGCGTCATACCCGCGCCAGCAGCCTGTTGTTTTCCCAGAGAGAAACGCCACATATATCTCCGCTCGCCCCGCGGGCTCACCACCCGTGCGCGCATTCACGTTGATATAATGCACGCCGCGCGCCCTCCGATGTAGAAAGGCAGCAGAAGAGACGGCTGCAGGCAGGGAGAACGCGGGCGCGGGGGAGGAGGGGGGTGGGCGCGGGTGGGTGGAGTGGAAGGAGGGACCATAGGTGAATCCCGCAAAATTGCAATTCCAGACGAAATGGAGTTCTGGTATTTTATCCGGCGTATGCACCTTGCGAATTCGAACGGGGAGCGCACGCGTGGTATGCGCGCTCGTCCGTCCATCACCCGCCCCTGGAAGGCCCGCGCGCATACCTATATGTATATACACATATATCCGGGAGAAGATTGTAAATAACGGCGCTCAGGTGTGACACGACGGTGACGCGTCGCCGTCCGACGCGTATAAACGTCTCGTTTTAGCGTCGCCGGAAAAGTCCCGCGCTTAAATTGGCAGTTAATATTTTATTCATCCCGCCTCCTCCTCGCGCGCGAAGCGCGAACTCGAAATGCTCGGCGGCATCATGTATGCTTTGTGCTTAAATATTAAGGATTTCGTACGGCGGATGTGCACGCAGATGCGTTTAGCAAAATTAGTATCTTTATTTACTCATTTGGACTGACTCGCGAGTACGTTTAGAAGGAAAAAATGCAATTAAAAATTACAACTAACTATAAAATAATTCTTAATCTTTAAACTTATCGCTATATTGGTCTCACAAACCGCTATTGAAACTTTACTTGTCAATAATTTTCTTTGTCATCATTTAAATATATTTTATTTCTATTGTATACGAGATTTGTCATCATTTAAATATATTTTATTTCTATTGTATACGAGATTTTTTTTGTTAATCCTCACATTAAAACATATTTTTCCTTTTCCCCATCAACAAATATTCAGAAAACATACATTTTTATTATAATTAACTTATAAAATTAGCGGGAGCATAATAGCGGTCTGTCAGACCGGCATTGTGGTTAGTGTGATTTTTTTCAGACGTGGTGGTTTAAAGGTTAAAAGGCTGACGTAACGTGCAATAAATACATGCATGCACTTCTATCGATTTATTATAGCTTAATAACCACTTTAAAAATTAATTTTGCTCGTTTATATGCTCAAATACGTCCGATATTGTTAGTTATATACATATTCGATATTTACGTTAAATTTCTTTATAATACATATACGCATATACGCGCACTGACACGAAACTTATAAACGTAACCTATAGGTCATATATAGGTAGATCATACGCCTTCAAATACGCCCATATCCTCCTCGTTTGGACCCTCGAGGCTTTGCCATAGCTGCAGGGATCGTAATTGCTCGAGGAGGGATTCGCTACACCCTCTCGTGGTAAGGGGCTCTATCCCGCGCAATGGGCTAAACGTAACCATGATTTACGACTTTGTGGTCGATAAGGACCGCTATGAATGCGAGAACATTGGCGGTATAATGTTTTCCAGGCTGATGGTACTTCACTACGGAAAACCATTTATCGCCCTTGTATCTACAAGATTCTGTACAAGAACATATAAGAGCTTACAGGTGACAAAATGTTCTCTTGGGGAATCAAACAACAATTAAACCCCGAAACATTATCAAATACAATTAATATGTTAATTATGTTAATACCAATTAAAATCGATAGACATAAGTGAACTTATAAGATAATTAATTGCTAACGCGTGCAATTCAAATCTGAATTCATTTTGTACTATCATTGAAAATCGCCATGATATCAAATTTTTCAATAATTCACGATTTAGAAACTTGAACTGAGGAAACATCAGTATATAGAATTTATCGAGAGAGCGAAGTTGCTTCACTGGCATAAGATATTACAAAAACAATATTGTATGTACACATACATATTTCAATATTGTATTTTCACACATGCATCCGAGCGAGCTCAGTATATGTTGGAGCCTTGTTACACGCTTTATTTCACGGCGGGTAAGACCGCAAAAAAAGTCTTCTCCAGCTCGTAAGTGGCAATTTGCATAAACAGGCCGAAGTGTACTCCCGTTCGTTCCCGCGAACTATGAGATTTGTCATCCCCCATAACTCGCGCTGACTTTCCAACGCGCCGCGATAATGCTACATTACTGACGCGGCCGGAATTCGGGGGGTAATTCTGGGACGTATGCGCTTCGTCTTGCTAGGCGTATCCGCGCGAGAATACATTCGCGATGCACTTCTGAAGATGGGAATTTGACGCGTTTTAGATGCGTAGAGTGTGATGGATGGTCGTTTACGGGTATTTTCCTCTGAAGGACGATTAAGAAGTGCTTAGAGGCTCAGAAGTGCAAGTGAGAACTGTAACTACAGTCGAAGTACCAAGTCGAAATTACGGACGGATATTTATTCCGACTTGCGAAAACTGAAAAGAACAGACAAAGTTGTTGATACAAGAGATGCGAAGAAAATCTCTTTTTTCATTATTTTCTCACATTCTAACATTCCCGTTTCTAACATTTATTATGTTGCAATATTTGTGTCGCTTGCTTTGTCAGTTTCATATAATTCCCGTTCAAGAGATGATTAATTAAAGCAGCTTTAAGTTTCGGTACGGTCGTATATAAGCAACAGTCACGCAGCCGCCAAGAATTGTGGGGAATTAATCTCGCAATTTTTATGAACGTCTCACAGAAATCGATGGAAGCAGAACGGAAGTTAATAAGGCGCGAACGATACGGTCGAGAGAAGACAGAGCACTGTGGTTTATTTGGGTCGTTGACGAATGCCATATACGTGACTTTCTATTATCCCTCGTATACTCTCTGTCACCCTCTTGTGCAACTACCAATCCCGGCACTTTAACTGCCTAAACTGCGGAAACTACAGCGAATACTACGTCCTAACATAACAGATGCATCTCTTAGCCGATTAAATAGCTCGAGTTCGCCAAGGTGATTCTGAGAACATTGCAGTAGCTTACGTCAATTCCATATAAAAATAATAATTATTATTTCTCAACATTTTGATTCTTTTAAGATTACTGCTTGAGCAATCATATATGTCGTTATGAGATATTAAATCAGCGTATATGCAATAATTATATCTCCTCTATTTTAATTTTCAGAAACATTCAAAATGCAAGAACAAAGTATGAGGAACGGTCTGCGACAATCGCTTTCTGGGATAAAGGAAATAATATCGGAACGAGTTATCTCAGAAGTGGCTCGGAGAGCGTTTAAAGGATTGGGTCTCAGAGCAATAATTGAATCTCTCCGCTCGTTCTCGTATCTGGCAGGGTATCATGAGATCGGGAGGACGATGAGATAAGAATCGCTATGTCAGTAGGAAAGGAAAATGAGGGGGTGCGCACCGACGTATCTGCCAACCGGCACCGCCCTTCGTTCAAATACGACCGCGCGACCAGTTAAGAATATTTTATCGTGGAATATTCGCGCGCAAAGATCGGTAGACGGTCCCACACTCCTGCAGGAATTCTCCTGACATAGCAGATTTTGCAAGGGTCCGACCGTGCCGACTGCGTGAGCATTTTTCTTTCTTATCTTTCGGCTTCCCTTTGCCGCTGTACCTCCGCTGCGACAGACACGTGCCAAGTGAAATGAAGGAAATAAAAATTCGAAACGATTCGCGGAAGATTAATCTTAAACATCGAGACAATAGGATTTAGTGAGAAACGGAAGATGTGAAGCATCGATAATGTGATTCATGAAGATGTAATATGTATTAGAGAGGAAAGAGAGATATACATGTAACGATCAAATATCTTTTTATGACTAACGACATAGTGGAGAAAAAATCATAAGAATCATTCGTAAATAGTATTATAAAGGTTTCAATTTTAGTTCATACAACAACTAACAAGTATTTCAAGCACCATAGAATGGAGAAACAGGTCAAACAGAACAATCGTAAGAGTGCATTCATTAGCGCGCCGGCGCGGCCAATTATTTTCATACAGTTCATTGGAAATTAAACTATAATCTTTTATCTGGTGTGACTTTACTTAAGTATACTTCTATTAAATAATCGTGTGCCTACATAAATTCATATTTAAATAACACTAATAAAAATATTGTTTTAATCTACCTTGTCTGCTCTCTAAATCTAAATCAGTGGAAAAGTCACTGATTGAGTCAGTAAGGCCTTGCATCGCTAATGAATAAGTGAAACACAGAGCCGAATCCGCTGTGCAATTAGCGAGAACAGCAAAGTCCATTGATTTGTCAACGACTATATAGTGATTCCACTTATTTATTAGTGATTTCCGAGAGACAATGAAGTTGAATTTCACTGATTACCAGTGACATACTTGGGACTGATGCATTCAATGAATGTAAATTGATAATCAGTGACTATCCACTGATTCAGATTTAGAGAATGTGTTAAATTTTCAAAATCTAAACTTAAGTCACGAGAGCCGTGTAAAGTACAAAAACTTTTTCTCACACATACATACGTATACGTGCGTACACACTTGTTACTACGGAACATCTAGAAATACAAAAGATTGGATAAAACTTGGACAAGAGGCAAGACATCAATGTCCCGCATTACTAGCCTTACGACTACTACCGGTTTCAGAAGCGAGCCGCGATCTATACTCGGCCATCGATCTTGCTCTAATAGATGAGCAAGGACGGAAAGTCGATTTGTTCGGTCGAGTAGCGGCGTGTTTTATTTGTCGCGGTGAGACGTCGTCGGGCCGGGGAAATGTAGAGTTATTACATCCCGACGGAGGAAGAGGACCGTTTTCAGGCCAGGCGACGAAGACCGGACGAAAAATGGAGTGGAGCGGAAGCAGCGACTGACGAATGCGATTCGCCGCGAAAAGCGACACACTCGTTTTCGGAGAAGTTATATTACTAACTACAGCTCCTCCAGAGAGGCCGTCGCCTCGGCCTATCCTATCCCTCATACACTGCACGGGAATCGATGTTTGATCTGCATATCGTCGCGCGAAACGAACGAGAAATTACGAAGACAGCGGATAAGCAAACGTCGTTCTGGGAGTTTAGCAGTGTAAGTAGAAAACTGCAATCTGCAAGTGTATATATACACAGCGTGCATTAAAAATTCAATGCTGCATTGCGAAGCAAAGTCGTGACGGAAAGATATCAATAAAGTATTGCATAATGCACAAGAAGCGCTGCATTCTTGAAAGATGTAATTTATCTAACTTCTGGCATCATGCTATCAACACGTATATATGAAGCGCCAGAGCGCGCACCCATTGAATTTATTTTACTTTTCATGATTCACTATTTTGCCATTTTTTTCTGTATTTCTATTTCGCGAAATATTGCGGTTCAAGGTAAAGATAGCTCCGTTCCTGAAGCTTCACATTTATCATCTCTTATTTTCGTTTGCTATTTTTCTGTCGTCCGTATAGTGTATGAAATATACGTGCTATTATTTGTTGAATTATTTGTTCTATACGTCTATAGGTATTTATTTTTAATATTTTCAATATTTTTTTTTCTTTCTTCTTTTCTCTCTGATGTTTTTTTTATATATTTTAATTATCTAATTTTTTATTGTCTGGTCTCATTTACGAAAATGTTATAATTTCTTCTATAAAATAGAGAAATTATATACATACGTGTTGTTATATATTGTCATTCCGCAACGATTATTATGTTCTGAAGCTATCTATACTAAGAACATATTGTACTTTATTACTAGTGTATGTGAGTATTGTGTGCATGTGTTGATATTATAGTAGAATAAGCTATATACAAAATTATGAGGTCACTCAACGAATAAGTCATTTTTTACCATTTTTTACAAGCTTGGCAAAATTCTGCGCAGACATATTTCAGCGAGACTCTTAAATTTATGAACGGTTAACGTACAAAAAAGTCGAGATAGTTAACTTCTCTACAAAACTTGAGATTTAAACATTAATTTTTAATAAAACTGTCAGAAAGTAGGTATCCGTGTTAAAGAAATAAAGCTTTTAAAATTTCTTGTTGAAATATTTAAACGTTATTAATATTTAATCCTGAACATCACAGGCAGATTTTCAAATGGATCCAGAGGAGAACTTAAATCAAATTATTGAAACCGATGAAATAAAAGCAGTCGTCCGTATTTTCAATGTACACAAGATAGATAAAATCCAGAAGCGCGGTGAGTAATATTTAGCGTTGATTTTGCATGAATACGGACCAATGTTTTTCTATCGATTCGACCGTTTAAATCTTTATGGGGACACTCTGACCGATGGTTCATAAAAATTCATTTGCTCACCATACACGTGATCGCAGAATAAATCACGAAGAAACATCGTGTACCAAACCCACCGCGAAATCCACAGGGTATTATCAAATCAGAGAGTTCTTTCTCGGTCTTCCCTTTTTCACTCAGCAGGCTTAAGAGAATTTAGGAGGCGGGTGCCTTTCCCCTGTGCGAACGCGAGACTATATATTACGATGTGCCGTAATCGAACGCGTTGTTTTCCTTCTCTCTCTCTCTCTCTCTCTCTCTCTCTCTCTCTCTCTCTCTCTCTCTCTCAAATGTTTTCCCAGATGTATTCGCACAACATTGTTTCGAGCAAATCGAGATATCTTGAGAATTATACGTTTATACTTTATATGGACAAAACGCACAACTCGGCAGTACGTATTTAAGATCTATGCAAAACGTGAATTTGCAATTTCATATGTAACGAAAATTTCAAACACAAATCGACATGTCTCTTAGCTACAAATTTAAGTGACAAAGAAACGATTTGGCTTCTCTTTAGTATTTACGACGAAGTTTTGATTGTTACATCGAAGTGACACATCGACAAGACAAAAACAATTTCAACTTTTCCAAGAGCAACACGTGCGTGCAAGCTCCGATTTGTACTGCGCCCCGTATGTATGGGGAAACGTCTCTTCGACCAGATCCATTTACCCACTATACCGTCCTCAACGAGCACGCATTGTACTCTCTCGTATTCTGTGTTCGTACCCTTTTAGTGAATACGCCATTTTATCCAGATGTATGTGTGCGGATCCATGATCGCCTACGCGTTCGCGTGTGTTCGTTCGCGGGGGATGAGAAAAAGGAAGAGCGAGAGAGAGAGGCGCACACGGCGACAGTGCTAACCAGTGTTCAGGGCGGAACGTGGCCATTGGCGGTCGGTGCAACGGGGAGATGAGGGTGGTTTGGGTCGAAAGGACGTGCCTGCTCCTCCACCTTTTTCTACCTCCGGCTTTATTTTTCTCCGTTTCGCCGCGACACTGTCTTTGTCCTCCAGCGGAGCTTCCTCCCGGCGGACTAAAGGGGAAATGCGGAAATGTGCCGAGACTTTAACTTCATTATTCTGGAACGCTTTAATTTCGGTCGACCGTCTCGCGCTAAAAGGGGGAAGAGGAAACAAGAGATATCGAGAGCAAAACGGCTAAAATAATGCTGATATGCAGCGACAGTTGTAAGAGAGTGCGGGCGAGATATGTAATGTTATCGAAATTCTGAAACGTATACCTAGCTTAAATAATAAAAATTCTTTAACGAGAATGAATAAAAATACAATTAATTTTATGTTGAAGATACTTAAAGATATCACGAATATAAAACAAATTGTAGATAGAAGATTGTAAAAATGGATGAACACTTTCATTTACAAGAGCAAACGTATATCCTCTACGTGATGACATTTTATAAAATATGCAACGCTTGTCCAGTGAATTCGACGGAGCTTTTCGCTGCTCCGTAAAACTGTCAAATCGTTCAAACATTTATTCGAGCCAAATTTTTCAACATGCATCATAAATGCAATGGAATGCGTCTGCTACCGTTTTTGCATACAAATATACATTTGTCATAACAATAAGAAAAACACCAACAATATCAATAACAAGTTGCAATAATTATAATAATAATAATGCCAACGACAGCAAGCAGTCCGTCCAGTGGAAAATATTTCTTGAACAATGGCCTTCGCTGTAGACAAGCTATATAAAGCTCGTAACGGTAAAAGCTACGAGACTTGATAGACCGGATACAGTCGAGGCTAACACGAGTTATCTGTGTTCGCCTAAAAGGCAATATACGTAACAGTGAAGACATGCATTCTTTATTGACACTCGTTCCGATTATCTTGTTTGCACGCGGAGATTGAGAAAATATTGAACCGTAGATTGCGTACTCCATCCTCTTAATGATAGTCGTATAGCTTGGAGAATCACGTACGCTGCAGCAACTACTTTGTATTAATATCTAAAAGTGTTCGCTCGAGTAATACAAATGTGTCGCTTCGTCTAACTAAATTGCGGAACGATTTCGCGCAGCGTGTAATTCTCTTGAACACAACGAAATTATTTACCATCACTTCAAGAATTTACCCGATATCTCTCTATATCGCGCACATATATGTGATATGAAATTATACGTGGAAATATGTTCGTCTGATGCATGCGTTCGTTCGTGTTTGTATTTGAAATAGAATGATTGCGTTACGCGCGGCGTACAGTGCATTTCTATAATCGCTCAAATAATTTACATCAACCGCGAACTAAAGAAATATTATCCAAATATTATAAATTAAACGCAACGATTGAGGCTTGCATTAATCGCGCCAGAGTTCTCGCTGGTGGGATGGGGCCTTGGTCCGACCGAATATTCCGGAATATTTGCACGTCTTGCTTTACTGTTTACTCGCCTTACTTTGCGACCTGCTTCGCACGTTTGCGCGTTTCTCATCGCGCGAACGAGCGCATTCCAAAGTACACTTCATTGTTATCGCCGCGCTTTCGTTTGCTCTTCGCCGTACTTGCTCTGTATTAGCGCTTTGCATCTCATGCTTATTCCAGATATTTACCGTCAATATTACGGCGGCGTATAATTGCATAAAAGAATGAAGAGGCGTCAATGATCCTTGGTAAATAATTGCGCTACTCGACTGTCACAACATTTTACCCACAAAGAAAACCTGACGCTTTCAACGTTTCCACTCATACAATATTACCAGAGATGTCTAGATAGAGACATATAAAATATTTTTAAATATAATATTTGTATTAAGTAAAGCGAAAATTAATATTTATAATATATCAACGATAATACTTTTTGTACAT